GTCTCAAAAACAGACTGCGATATCATCTTACACAGAGCTTGCCATGCAATTTAGAGAGGGCTCCTGGTCACTCGCTGCAGCAGGCTGGTTAGTGATCACCCAAAATATCAGGTCCTATTTCCTGGTACCTGCCAATGATACCTTGTAAGAAAAATAGGCATTCCTGCTGGTTATTAAATTAATGATCTTGCCCTGGGGAAATGACTCTAGAGTAGCTGGGTGGACTATAAAATCTCATCACAAGTTACCTTTCTTTCTTTCTTTTTTTTTTTTTTTTGACAGGCAGAGTGGACAGTGAGAGAGAGAGAGAGAGAGACAGAGAGAAAGGTCTTCCTTTACTGTTGGTTCACCCTCCAATGGCTGCTGCAGCCGGTGCACCGCGCTGATCCGAAGGCAGGAGCCAGGTGCTTCTCCTGGTCTCCCATGGGGTGCAGGGCCCAAGTACTTGGGCCATCCTCCACTGCACTCCCGGGCCACAGCAGAGAGTTGGACTGAAAGAGGGGCAACTGGGACAGAATCCGGCGCCCCGACTGGGACTAGTACCCGTTGTGCCAGTGCCGCAGGCGGAGGATTAGCCTAGTGAGCCGCGGCGCCAGCCCAAGTTACCTTTCTAAGAGAGAGGCAGAGGCGGATGGCACACAGGAGAGGAAGGTGATGTGACCACAGAGGCCGAAGTTGGAGTGATGTGGCCACAAACTGAAGAATTCAGGCAGCCACCAGACGCTGGAAGTGGCATGGGATGGGTTCTCCCCTAGGGTCTCTAGAAGATGCCTGGCTCTGCTGACACCTTGATTTTGTCCCAGTGAAACTGGTTTTAACCTTCTGGTCTCCAGGATTGTAGGAGAGTTCCTTTCTGCTGTTCTGAGCTACCCAGTGTGGAATAATATGTCACAGGTTTTTGCTGAGAGCAATGGGCTTGAATTTTCTCAGAAATGAGAAATGGGAATTTTCAGTCATGTGGCAGGATTGAGAGAAGTTGCTGGTGAAGTGTCTCCCCTGCTGGGGTTGTCAGGACACCATAGAAGTCACGGGCATGGGGAGCTGCCTCTACCACTGAGCTCAGTGGCTACAGTTTGCCCCCTAAACTCTGGTTGAAGAATCGTGACATGTCCCAGGCCCCTCTGCTTCTCCAAGGACTTAGGGTCAGCTTCGATCCACAGAGATCCTTTTGGACTGGTGCTCTCTGTTAAATGTTTACAAACTTTAATTACCCTCCAAGAGGCTGAGTATAAAGGACCTCTCCAGTAGAAAACAGGTGTGTGTGTGTGTCGGGGGGGGGGGGGGCTCTGTTTGCACAAGGTGGCACTGCAGGCTGGCACTGTGGCTGTGGAAGTGCTGACATTTGGAAATCTTGCATAACGTATGCAGGTCTGGTTTAGTCCCTGGAACAGCATTAACTGGCAATGATGGTGTATGACGTCACTGTCTAGTTCCTGACTGCTAACATTTCATTATTCAGTACAGTGGTTGCCCCTATCTATGGAGGTACATTCCAAGACCCTCCAATTGATGCCTGAAAGTACTGAACCCTACACATATTTTTTCACCAAATACAGACCTACCATAAATTTATAATTTATAAATTAAACACAGTAAGATTAACAAAAATAACTAATAATAAAATACAACAACTATAACAATATACTGTAGGAAAGTTATGTGAATGTGGTCTCTTCTCATTGTCTCAGAATAGTTTATTATACTTCATCTATACTTAAAGGAAGCACCTTATGGCTTTTTTGGGCACACCTGAATTACCACCATCGCGACTTCTCACACTGGGACCTCTATGAAGTAAAATAAAGGTCACACAAGTACTACGATTCCACTAGAGTCCATCTCACAACTGCAACAGCTACTGAATGGGGAAGGGGCAGGTACTGGGTAGAGCTGGACAAAGGGATGAGTCACATCCATGACGAGAAGGAGCCAGAGACAAGAGATTTCATCACAGTATTGGAATGACTCACAATTTAAAGTGGATGAGTTGTTTATTTCTGGAATATTTCATCTGACATTTTTGGGCCACAGTTGACTGGAAGAAGTAAAAGGAAGACTACTGTAGAATTCTTGTGTCATTGTAGATTGCCAGGATGGACTCAGTCAATTGCTTTTGTTTTTCTGCAATGTCCTAACTTTGACAGTTAACTCATTAAATTACAGCCTTTCCTCTTTCCCAACATAAGAATTTTAAGGCCACATATTTCTCTTAGAGTGTTTGTTAAGATACTTCATAAGTCTCATTGTATCATATTTACACTTAGTTCTAAGTGCTTTCTAATTTATCATTATTTGAAAGTATAGCTCAACTACTAAAGTGTATTTATTTTTTTAAAAGTATTTATTTTGTTAATTTGAAGGGGAGAGAGAGAATGAGAGAGAGAGGAGAGAGTGGGCTCCCACCTGCTGGTTCACTCCAAGAATGCCTACGATAGCTTAGAATGGGCTAGGTCAAAGCCAAGAGACAGGAACTCAGTTCAGGTCTCCTGTGTGAGATGCAAGAACCCCATTACTTGAGGCATCACAGATGCCTTCCAGTGTGTGAATTAGAAGGAAGCTGGAATTGAGAGCAGAACAGGAACTTGAACCCAGGCACTTGGCCATGGGATATGGGTATCCCAATCAGTGTCATAATTGTCTAAAAACCCACTGCTCAGGGAATATTTCTATTTTTCTTAATTTCCCGCTTGTTTTAGTTTATAGGCACTGTAGCCTGTATGATACTAAACATGGTCAACATTTATAAATGCTCCAGATGTGTTTAAGAAAGACTTGCTGATATTCTCAAAAAAGTTGGATAATAAAAGTTTCTGATTAGATCTACTAATGAAGTATTTTTTTCCTAGCTTGTAAACTATTGAGAGACATTTACTCTCTTAAGTTATAAAAGACCATGTCTTCCATAAACTCTTTTCACTTCTTTGGGTTGTATTTCTCTATGTGTGTTCCCTAAAATAGCATCAGTATCACCGGGGAACTCACTTATTATTCAAATAAATAGGAACCTTTCCTCAGATTCTGAGTAGGTCTAGGGTTCAAGGACCAGGACTCTGCACCATAAAGTATCTTGTAAGTTTTAAGAATCACCATGTTCCTAAAGTTGTAATTATGAAATATATGAAGTTTGTATTCCTTAAATAAAAGGTTTCTGGGAACAAAAAACAAAAACAAATAAACTGTGTCCTCAGGGGATTGATAATTCCCATTAAAGCCAGAACAACATTTAAAAAAAAAAGAATTAATGCTACAAAACTTGCTCATTGGAAGATGGCTATATGATATTGTTAAATCCTAATTTTTTCTTCTTCAATCAGAATACCTTGTTGATTTATCAGGTCAATAAGATTTCTTTTCTCAAAAAGTACCTAATCACATATATTAGAAACTTCTAAAACACAACAATAACAATCAAATCAACCATGAGTGTGTAATTTATCTTTTGATTTAAAAAAAAAATTTTAAAGAAAAGATTTATTTATTTGTTTAAAAGTCAGAGTTATAGAGAGACAGATAGACACTCTCTCACACACACATGTACACACAGACCCTTTATCTACTGGTTAACTCCCCAGATGGCTGTAACAGCCAGGATTGGACTAGTCCAAAGTCAGGAGCCTGGAGCTTCATCCGGGTCTCTCACATGGGTAGTAGGGATCCAAACACTGGGCTGTCCTCTGCTACTTTGCCCAGGCCACCAGCAGGGAGCTGAATTGGAAGTGGATCAGCTGGGACAGCAATTGGTGCCCATAAGTGATACCGACGTTGCAGACAACACGTTACTAGACACAACACTGGCCCTAGAAGTGTATTTTTCATGGCATGTAACAGGGTCAAAATCATAATACATTCAGTCTGATTCAGGAGTCTTTTTTTTTTAATCTGATAAATTTTTTTTCTTTCTCATTGACAGTCTCTTGTTTTAAATAATGCCAAGGAGTGCGATTATTTCAGATATGATAGTTTAATTGAATTCACATTGATTTTAGTCTGGATCATGGCATTTTGTATTACATTTTCCTCCAAATTATTTTGTATGCATCAGTTTTATATTTCTCAATAGAATATATATTTATTTTTTAAAAATCTAATGTTTTAAAAGATTGATTTATTTAAAAGGCAGAGTTATAGAGACAGACAGGGAAAGACAGAGAGAGCAATCTTTCATTTGCTGCTTCACCCCCAAAATGGCTGCAATGGCTGGAGCTGGACTGATCTGAAGCCAGGAGCCAGGAGTGTCTTTTTTTTTTTTTTATTTTTTGACAGGCAGAGTGGACAGTGAGAGAGAGAGACAGAGAGAAAGGTCTTCCTTTGCCGTGGGTTCACCCTCCAATGGCTGCCGCAGCCGGCATGCTGCGGCCGGCACATCGCGCTGATCTGAAGGCAGGAGCCAGGTGCTTTTCCTGGTCTCCCATGGGGTGCAGGGCCCAAGCACTTGGGCCATCCTCCACTGCACTCCTGGGCCACAGCAGAGAGCTGGCCTGGAAGAGGGGCAACCAGGACAGAATCCGGTGCCCCGACCGGGACTAGAACCCAGTGTGCCGGGGCCACAGGCGGAGGATTAGCCTATTGAGCCGCGGCGCCGGCCCAGGAGTGTCTTTTGAATCTTCCACATGGGAATAGGGGCCCAAGGACTTGGGCTATCATCCTCTGCTTTCCCAGGTGCATTAACAAGGTGCTGGATTGGAAGTGGAACAGTCAGGACCTGAACCAGCGCCCATACTGCTATGCCACAGTGCCAGCCCCTGAATTTCCATTCTTTTAGAAAAAGTTCTCTTGTGTGCATACTTACATATCTACTCTAACATCTATTATGTAGATGGTGAATAGTGCCTTTAAATTGATAGTTTTCAAAAGTTATGTATGATTTTGCATTCCTTTTTTTAAATTTATGAGTTGCATGGTCTTGAAAAATTCCATTTCTTTCAAAGTGATAGACAAGCATTTTAAAATCCATCTATTTTCATAATGCCCATAACTGCAATATTACTTTTTCTTTCTAGGATAGAATCTAAAGAGAAACACAGTACACAGTAACTAACATATGTAAGTACTTTAAGAATGTGTCTGCATTTTGTAATTGTAACAACATACTTGTGAAAAGTCGTCTATATTTACATTTGAATAGTAGTTGAGAGAGTAGTTTAAGACATCATCATGAAAGCAAACAGGTACAATTACAGTGTCTTCATGCTCCAAAGTTTCTGTCTACACAGGAAATTCAAGCACAAAAGTGTGACCAGAAAAATACATAGGGGTGCAAAAACAAGGTCAAGACAAAATTAAAATTATGATGCTTACTGGCAAGAAATACTTATCTTTGAGAACACAGTCTTACCAGACACTGTGTGCGCGAGTCTTAAGTATCGCCCACTGATTAAAAGGGCAGGGTTTAGATAGAAGGGGGGAGATGATGACTGGTTCAACCAGAGGAAAAGATTTCCATTGTGGCCAAATAGCAGCAGGACTGTCTTAGATGCTCAGCATTCTGCTCTGTCTTGGAGTACAGTTCACTTATTCTGTTCTTGCAGTCACTGATAAAGTTTAAACACAAAGTTCTCAAGGGCTATGATTTTAAAAAACAAGGCCACCCCAACCATGTCCTTGGCGCTGATACAATTGAACAGAACAAGGATTATTGTTTGCTAACCTTGAAGTTTATTAACTGGAGCAGCTTTTCCAGATTTGCATTGTATCCCTATTGGTCCATACCACCTTGGCATTAAGTGCAGCAACTTTATCAGAATATTAGGGAACCTCTGCTTACACTATTAAAAATGGACACCAAACAATAATTTCCTGCTGGTAAATGAAGAACAAATGATGCACAATTGTCCGCTTTTAGTCTTTGATTTAACCTATTGGACATGAATGGTGGTGGAGTAGCAATAAGCCTTTGAACAATTTGCTACAATTATGTCTAAATGCTGCATATGATGTGGCTCTTATCCAATCAGCCCTCTTGAAGGTTGTTCACCATTTTCCTGTTTCTTGGAGACATCTCAAATGGACCTCCCTCCCTCCCTCCCTCCCTTTATTCCTTCCTTCTTGCCTTCTCTCTTTTTCTCTTTCTTCTTTCCTTATGAGAGCGAGAAAGCAAGAGCACACACATGCAAGAAATAGTTCCCATCCACTGGTTCAGTCCCTAAATTTCCATAACGGCTGGGTACAGCCAGAGACTAAGACAGAAACTCAATCCGATCTCTCATGTTGCAGGCAAGGATCCAGCTACTTGAGTCATGACCTACGGCCTACATTAGCAGGAAGCTGTAAACAGGAGCTGCAGCTGTATATAGAACCCTGATAGGAGATGTGGGCATCTTAACTTTTGTTTTAACTGCTAGGCCAAATTCCTGCCCCTGAAATGGACATTTAAAGCATCCTCCCAAGCTAAACTTTAGGTATAGATCAGAGAATCAAGGAAGCATCAGAATTATACTAAGCTGTGAAAGAAGTCTGGGAAGGGCTCGGTTTGTGAGATCAACTGTTACTGTAGAACATGCTCATAGTACCCCTGTTATACCATGAGACCTAGGAGGCAGCCACAAAATTTTCACTGCACTATTTATATAAATTTTTTTTTTAAGTTGAAAAATGTCATTTGGCTGGATGTTAGTTGGACTCTATTGTTGGCATCCATTTAAAACAGGACATCCTCTTTTGATGCACCAAATTCAAGATCTGGAGTGGGCGTTTGGTGCAGTGGTTAGGGCACCGCTTAGGGCCCCCACATAACTTTATCTGTGTGCCCTGGCTTCATTGCCTCTAACACAGCTTCCTGTTCATGAGCTTACTGGGAGGGAGTAGGTGATGCTTCAAGTACTTAGGTCCCTGCCAACCTCACGGGAGACCTGGATTAAGTTATGAGTGTCTGGCTTTGCCTCAGGCAGCCCTGGCTGTTGCAAGCTTTTGAGGAGTGAACCAGTAGATGAACCTCTGTATCCATCTCTCTGTCTTTCAAGTAAAGTGAATAAAAAAATTTTAAAAATTCTAAATTCAGTATTTATGGAAAGTAACTGTGAAGCAGGATTTTAAACTTTAACATCAGCACAACATGCACAGTTTGTAACGGGGAGTCTCATGACTACCTTTGCATTGCCTTAGTCTATGAAGTGGGTTTGGAAATGGCATGCAGATATGGAAATAGAGATTAAATCCTAACAACGTATTATAACTAAGGGAAATTTCTTTCTTCTTTATGTGGAAATATTGATTGAAGATCAGCACAAATATCAATCATACAGATGAAGTTGTGCATTGCACTGTGATACTTCAGTTTCATCCAAGAGCATTCTTCTAAATGTAATGATGCTTCATAAACCAGGAAAAATATTTTCATAAGTGGATTCTTCTTAGCTAACAGCCAGTTCATCAGCATTTCTACTAAGAAATTCCTTTAAAATAATATTTTTTCTGTTATTTAAGTGTAACTTAAGACCTCTCAACTGATTATTTTCTTTTTTATTAAACCACTGAAATACAAACAGAAGAGGAGCATTTGTTCAACCCTCTGACTTCTCTAGTGAATGGCAATTATCAGCAAAATTTACCAAACTGACATAGATGATACAAGTAAGCAAATTAACTTATTACCTGCTTTATCTAATTAAGCAATCCAAATTATTTTAAATGGTACAATTTGAGATAAGAAAGAATTTATTACTGCTATAACTAAAAATTCAGGAATTTGATTCAAACACCATTTTGTGGCCTACAGCCTAAAGCAAGAGAGTTCTGACTTGAAAACTTTCCAAGTTCAACTGAGCCCAACTGGCTTGCTTGGGGTGAGGGAGTTATTAGCGATGCATTCCTGAGGAGGTGGGGGAGGTGATACTCCCTCAGAACCTCCCAAGTCCTGAAGGATGTGTCCAAAGGGGGTTGAAGGTTTGGCCAGCAGTGTGTGTGTGTGTGTGTGTGTGTGTGTGTCTGTAACTCTGAGTGCAGGAAAACTTCACAGAAGCTACCAGCTCTTCTTTGTGAAAAGGTGGAGTCCATCTCTCCCACAGTTAGCTGAGAGGTAAGGCAGCATAAGCAGGAGCTCTGTTTTCTGGAGGGTGGGTGGGAGCAGTTCTCTTCCTATGTGTGACACAGGTAGGAAAGGAGAGGAGAGGAACCCGTGTGGCCAAGCAGTGCCACGGTGCTTCTCTCCTGGCTGTGGCCAGAAGGGGCTTGGTGAGCCCTTCTCCAATACTTTTATAAGAAACTCTCAGACACTAAGCAAATGACAAGTCCCACAAAAGGACAGTATAATTTAGACCTGGGGTGAGTCAGAGAAGGAACCATTGAGGAAGAAGAAGGAAGAGATAGAGGAAAGAAATGGAGAAGGAACCATGGCAGTTCCAGCACACACCTCCTATCTGCAGGGATTTGACTCTCAAGGAAAATTTCACTTCAAGGAAGGAAATGAGGACCAGAGGACCTAGCAGAACAATCGGAGTCAAGTTTCACATTCATGTACCCTCTTCCTTTTCCCTAATATTTCTCATAAATTCAAGTTGATGAAACAGTTCTTGATTATTTTTTCAAGAATGGAGCATTCTAAAAATGGTTGATTAAAGAGCCTTTTCTGAGGTCTTGGCTTCAGCAACTGGCTTTGTTTCCTTTGTTTTAGGTTTTCCCATTTTTTCAGATGGGATTATATTCAAAGTACTGCAAACATTATAGTAAGAGTCCTTCCAGTAATCTTCAGAGCTCAGTGGAAAATTGGAAATCTCAAAAATTTATGAGGAGAAAAGTACAGATTTCAGCTTTCTCTCATAACTTGGTTACAGCTTTTACAGACCAAGATTTGAAAAGAAAGGATCCCAGTAAATGTTCAGTCTAGGGATTTTTTATAGTTCCAAAACAGACGGAGACTGTGAATCAATAGTGGTTTACTTTTTCCTATGTTAAAAATTGCATCCACTAACTGTAGCAAACATTTGGCAAGCAGGCATTTCTGACCTAATAGACGATATTATGAACCTCATCCACTGTTCCCTTCTGTGCCTCCTATGTGGGCAGCACTCAGAGTTCTTGGGAAAATCTATTATCATCAAAATTCACCCAGTTCACATGGAGAAAAGTGCTCACCTAGTTGTTTAGTATAAAAGCAAAATTAAAAAAATTCTCAGTGAGCAAGGCCACTGGAAATTTCCAAAAGTCAACCTGTAGGGTTGATGGTATTTGTAGGAGTCTAAGCAAAGATTCAGGTCTATCCTTAACGGCAGTATAGATGATGACAATGAAGTGAGAGTTGTAGCAGAGCATGGTAAAAGGCCATTTCCAAGCAATCAGGACGCACAAAATATCTTCCCATGACTCCTGTTACCTATTTCTATATTGGAAAGTGGTCCAAGAGAAAGGACTTAAGACAGGAGGCTGTTTTAGGAAAGCACATGGAACAATGAACTACAATTAGGCCCATTGTCTGGGCCAGAGATTTCTGTAGAGCTGAGTTGTTTTCCTCTCGAGGCTCAGATCTTCTGAAAATTCTAATGAAACCATGAACCATCTCCCAAGTAAAATGCATGGGTGTTCAACCAATTTTAAAGTCTTCATACACTGCTTACTTTCTAACTATTTCTACAGGTAAGACATACCCATGGAGGTGAATGGCTCTGCAGAGGTGGGTTTGTCTATTTTATGAGACAGGAGCTACAGCCCATGGTGACTGGCACAGCAGACTAACAAGAAGCATATGGAGAGAAATACTGGTGTACAAGCTGAGCATTTGACTCTGATCCCGGAGGCAATGGGGATACTACTGAGTGTGAAACAGCATAATATAAATGTTTATGGGAAGCCATCACAGCAGTGGATTTGGATTCCAGTTTACACAGATTTCTCCAGTTTCCTTGAACAGTTCCAGTCCTCACAGGACTCTGATCACAGGGCCCGGGAGTTATGAAGAGAAACTGGCAGCACATTCTTGGTAACTAATTTCTTCCAACTATCTATGACTGATTCTACCAAGTCATAGGTCCACTTTGCAGAAAATGGCTCTGTCTTCATCATCCCCACCAAAGAATGCTACAGGAAGACTCTCACAGAAATTCAGTTGATCATGCAAGATGAAACCTGCATGCCTTCCTTGCATTACACAATAAAATTGGAGCGTCACAGACCCCCCACTCTTGATACAAGAAACACCTGACTTCAGTGAGGACAGAATTAGAGGATGAATTCAGCCTGATGTGTTCTTCCATATGGAAAAACTCAGATTATTTCTATGTCTCTTAGTCGTATCTACAGGACATTGGGGCTATGCAATGACGCATCTGGTGATTCTGGAAGGAGAATCTGAGCGTCGGAGTCCAGACAGTTTGGTTTGGGATGAGTTGCCTTTTAGGAATAAGCGCTCCGTAGCTTTTCCCTCTAGGAAAGGTTCTTTTGCAGGGAGAGAAGGATCAGAGAGAGGTGAGAAGCAGGTCTTCCCTTGTCCTGACTTGTGCTTAGTCAAGCTGCCTTGAATGAACTCTTAGGACCAGTATGGAGAAGCTCACTTGTCTGAGGATGTGAACTATGTTCTTCAATAGTGCCTTATTCTTCATTTGCTTTATCCCATTGTCTTATTTCTCAATTGTTCAGAAATTTGATAAAGATCAGAATGGTACTATTAGGCTGTGTCAAAAACCCCAAAAGATAGCAGCATACAAAGCACGGAGAACAGCAAGCAGTCAGGGTAACTGTTCTGTTCCACCAATAAGAAGGACTTAATTAAATTGCCCAGAATGCAAAAGCTGGACAGGTTCTCCTAGGTAATATCTAAGCAGACAACTGTTATTTATGACATCTTTCTTCTTGGCACAGGTAATAGACTGTCCCCATAGTCCTAAATTTCCTTAGCCATACTCTATTTCTGCTTCCCAAGAGTGAGTGCCAATCAATCCCAGAATAGCTCCTTATTATACACTCAGAATGAAGACTCGTATATTTGATGAAAATGAAAATTACACATTTAAGTTGTCAACA